ATATGGACTGAAACAAGCGCCCAGAGCTTGGAATCAGAAGATTGATTCATTTTTCAAGAAACAAGGCTTTCAGAAATGTGAGATGGAGTACGGTGTCTATGTTCAGCATACTTCTGAAGGCAATATGACTCTGGTATGTTTATATGTTGATGATATACTATTGACTGGAAGTTCTGAACAGGAGATAGCCAAGTTCAAGAAGGTTCTAATGAATGAATTTGAAATGACTGATCTAGGCAAAATGACATACTTTCTAGGGATGGAGTTCAAATATTCTGAGAAAGGTATCATTTTGCATCAGCTCAAGTATGAATTAGAACTTCTGAAGAGATTTGATCTGAAGAATTGTAAGATGGCTGTCACACCTTCTGATACAAATCAGAAACTGGATTCAGACTCTGAAGGAAAGGATGTGGATGCTACAACCTTCAAACAGTTGGTTGGTTCTCTGAGGTATCTGTGCAATACCAGACCTGATATTTGCTATTCTGTTGGGATGGTTAGTAGGTTCATGAGTAAACCTAAGTGGTCCCATTATCAAGCTGCTGTCAGGATTCTGAGGTATATCAAAGGAACTCTGAAGTATGGAGTGTTATTTCCCTCTGGAGGAAATAATGAGTCAGAACTTCTGAGTTATTCAGACTCTGATTGGTGTGGAGACAGAGTTGACAGAAGAAGTACATCTGGGTACTTGTTCAAATTTCTGGGAGGTCCCATTTCTTGGTGTTCCAAGAAGCAACCTGTTGTGGCGTTGTCAACCTGTGAAGCTGAATACATTGCAGGTGCTGTTACTGCATGCCAAGCTGTGTGGATTCTGAATCTGTTGCAGGATCTGAAGATTAAGGTAGACAAACCTCTGAAGTTGATGATTGACAACAAGTCTGCAATCAACCTTGCCAGAAACCCAGTGCTGCATGGGAGAAGCAAGCATATTGAGACCAAGTATCATTTTCTGAGACATCAAGTTCAGAGTGGAGTGTTAGAAGTTGTACACTGCAGCACTCAGAAGCAGTTGGCAGATGTTCTGACGAAAGCTATCAAGACTGATCAATTTCTCAGATTAAGGGATGGAATTGGTGTCACAAGTTTTGATGGAATATGAATTAAGGGATGGTATTAGAATATTATTAATAATTCATATTTATTTAGTTGTACTATTTTCTTAGCCCCTAAGTTTGTTAGAGGGTATTTTAGTATTTATCTTATTCTAGTAACCCTAGTTTTAGCTTATAAATAGGGTGACAATCATTGTAACAAATCATGTTTTGTAGCCGTCATTCTCTTATTAGTAATATTTCCTATTTCATCATTTATTCTATCTTTGCACCAACAATTTTTGAGGTTGAGTGAAAATTGATAGTTGATAATATTAATCACATTAAGGAATGGATTATCCTTATTTCCATTATTTTAAAAGTTTTAACCTAAAATCTATTAAGCGACAATCTAACAATGTTTCCTATAAGCTTGCTATAGAAACTCTATTCATAGTTAGTCATCAATATTTTTTAACATAATCCTTTATAATTTTTTGTATTACATATATATCTAATAGGAACTAAGAGATACACTAAATCATATATATTTTGATATTACAACAAATATAATACATGGATAAATACTTATTTTTAAATTCTATGTTTTGATTTCAATCGATATGATAATTATAAACATTATTGAGTTGAATTAAAGAAAAGTTATACTAATATAAAACTCTTTTCTAACTTGGAAGGAGTTTATTGACACCACAACCACATGAGCAAGTTCTGAAGTTGTTTGACTGAAACATATAAAAATGACTAATGTGGAACAACTTATTCAATTTAAATGACTAATATAAATCTTTTTTAATTAGGAGACTAATTAATATAAACCTCAAATTAAAAATAAATGATCAAAACAATGTTTTAGCCATAAATAAAATATAAATAATATTAATTTTTAAAATGCCAAAGAAAAAAAAAGTTGTATTAACTGTAGTTGAATTGTGATTTAAACCGATTCAATTAAATTTGAACTAGTTTTAATAGACTACAAATTTATCATTATTAAACTAATTGACAAGACTTTTCAATTTTTAATTCAATTAGTTAAAATGTCCGGATGCATATGTTTCTTACAACATTATTATTACTTAATTCTATGGAAGAAAACGATTATTACATGAGTACAATAAATAATTTTTCAGTATAAACACATAATTGCAAAGCTATTTTTCAAGAAATTTAACATTATTATGTGTGCAGAGTTGAGTTCGAACCTATAACCTCTATTAAGTTTCTTACATCTTTATTATTATCTCCGTCTTAAATTATAAGAAGTTTTGGACATTTCGCATGAATTAAAAAATTTAATGATTACTTTATGAAAAAGACAAATTATGTATAACTTTACAGTAATACCTTTTATAATTGTATAAGAGAAAAAAATTAAAAGAGTTGAAAGAATAAATAATAATAAATATTTGAAGGTCTTTTGGAAAAAATGTCATTAATATTATATTGAGAATGTAAGATGACTTATAATTTGAGACAAATTTTTTTTAGCAAAATGACTTACAATTTAGGACTGAGAAAATATTACTTAATTCTATAAAAGAATATTATTACGTGAATATGATAATTTTTTTAAAAAATAAACACACAATTACAAAGCTCATTCTCAAAAGTTTAACACTACTATATTTTTAGAGTTGAATCCATAACCTTTGTTGGGGAAAATATTATTGATATTACATCGAGAAAGTAAAATGACTTATAATTTTGAGACAAATCTTTTTAATAAAGTGACTTATAATTTATGATAGAGAGAGTATTACTTAATTCTATAAAAAAATATTATTACGTGAATATGATAATTTATTTTAAAATAAACACGCACAATTACAAAGCTCTTTCTAAAAAATTTTAGAGTTGAATCCATGATCTCTAATTAAATTTCTTACATCCTTATTAGTACTTATTCTATAAAAGAAAGAAATTATTACATGAATATAACAAATATTTTTTTGGTATAAACACGCACAATTATAAAACTTTTTTTAAAAGATTTAACACTGCTGCATGTTCAGAGTTGAGTTTGAACCCATTAAGTTTTTTACATTCTTATTATTACATAATAATGTAAAAGAAAGCAAGTATTACATGAATATAATACATATTTTTATTTTTTTGTATAACTGAGCCCAACTGCAAAGTTTTTTTCAAAAAGATTTAATATTACTGTGTGTTTAGAGTTGAGTTTGAACTTAGAACTTAACATTATTATTACTTAATTTTATAGAATGAAGCTAATATTACATGAATATAATAAATAATTTTTTTGATATAAACATGCATAATTACAAAATTCTCTCTCAAAAGATTTAACACAATTTGTGTATCTAAAGGAGAGTTAGAAGCCATGACCTCTAGTTAGTTAATCTTTTTCTTAACCTTTTATTTATATACTTGTGCTCAAAAAAAAAAAAATATATATATATATATATATATATATATATATATATATATATATATATATATATATATATATATATATATATATATATATATATATATATATATATATATATATATATATATATATATATATATATATATATATATATATATATATATATATATATATATATATATATATATATATATATATATATATATATATATATATATATATATATATATATATATATAATCTTTTTTTATTATAAAAAAATTTCTCTCTAAAATAGCTATGCACCCAAATAAATGATAGGTGATTTAATAACGAAAATCGAATAACAAGTGCCTCAACGGATCTTGAATCGAGCTTTGATACCATGACAAAATTAAAGTTTGATTATACTCATTCTTAGAAAACCTGCTTATATGGTAATGAATGTCACTCTATATAAATCAAGAGTGACAAAAGAGCACGTGCACCCTGTTTTGGCATGTTCAGTAAAAGTCGACAAAAAAAAATAGAGCAAGAGCAAGACAAACATAGTTGATGGTGACAAATTAAAATTTTAGTCCATCTCGTAAAAAATGAAAGGGGAGAAGGGTGTATCCACGTGCACTACCTTTAAAGATTAAAAATACAAAATTTTAAATTAATACATACTTCCACAAAATTCATCAAAATAAATGAGACATACACATTAGAGGATAAATGCATACTAAAATCTTTATTCAATTTGAAAAAATACGGGTAAACCAAACATGACCGACAGTTGGACCCGTTTTACCACCTTTAGTATAAATTTTATCGAATTTGGTGCATATTCCATCAATAAAATTCAATCTTATAAAATTACTCTATAAATATCATCACTCTATAAACATCTAAAAATAATTAACGTAAAAAATAAATTGACAAATATAATTTTTTGTTTTTTGATTAGGAGACTATTGTAAACCTCAAATTCAAAATAAGAGATCAAAATAAATATTTTTTAATAACTGTCATTTTTTTCTCCACTAACAAATTAGTATCAGTAAAACATTTCCCTTTTAAAATATCTAGGCACCAAAATAATTCAAGTCCAACATGTGTACAAGACTTTTGTAAAAAAAAAAAAAAACATCTTAACATCCCATTAGATTAATGAATCACATAGACACACGTTTTCTAAATCTCAAATTTCAATTCAATATTTCAAACTATCAATTTACTAATCCACATTCTCATCGTTCTTAACAACAACAATAATAATAATTAATAATAATATTTAATAATAGATTTATTTTGAACATTTAATCATATTTAAATAAAATAAGGTTAAATTTTACTGTCTATTATAATTTTTTTCTGACTCAAATAATTAATTTCTAAAAAAATAGACTTATTTGGAATGATACGTCAAAATATTCTTTCCTATAAACAAACACATTCACAATCACATCTCACAAATCTCTCTCTCTCTCTCTCTCTCTTTCTCTTTCTCTCTCCTGAACTTTCCTCAACCACACCCCCACAAAAACCACTTTCCCTCTCTTCCTTTGCATGCACCTTCAACAACAATGGGTAACCTCTGCGCTCTTCTCAAACCAAACCACCACCAGCAATCACCATCTTCATCCAAAAAGCTTCGCTCAACCAGCCGCAGAGAGAAGAAAAAGCTCGACGATGCATCGATTCGTGAACAAGCTATAGCTGCTGCTTTACTGTACAAACAGCATCAACAGAATCTGCAATTTGATCGGTCGAGTTCGTTACGGTACCCTAACGGAGTTTCCAAAAGGAATAATGGGAGTAATAGTTTGCCGCGTAGTTCGAGTTCTAGAGCTAGATCACTCACTGATCCTCTTCTTCAACCTCATCAGCTTCTAAATCAGGTATTGTAAAAGTAAAATCAATAATAATTAGTTTTTTTTTTTTATGATTGTGTATTTTAAATAAAAATTGATTTTTTTATTTTATTTTTTGTGGTTGGCTGATTTGTTTTATTTTTATTTTTTATATATAGTAATTTTGTTGATTTAGTCAATTTTGGAGTTGTGTAATTTTATTTTCTCTATTCATCAATTTTATTTAAAAAATTAATTAACTTATTTTCAAATTATTATTGGTGTCGTCGATTTTGTGTCATTGTATAAGTGTAAGTGTTTTATAGATTTAAATTACTTTTGATTAAGTTCAATTTATTATTTATTTATTTTAAATTATTATTTGTTGATGTGTGGCTGCATATCATAGGTTTAAGTTGGTTTATTGGGGGGGTTAAAATGAGGTTTATATATGATGTGTTATTTCTTAGAGTTAAAGTAGGTTATGGAATTGTATAAGGGATTTGTATGTTATGAATTATGACTCATGATTAGATTTCTTTGACTTGTGAAATCAGAAAAGTGTTTTGCAATTAAAATAATTTGTTTGATTTATATCCGTTATTTATGTTATTGATTCAATGAATCAGAATATTGCTGAGAAATTAAGTAATATGTTAGATTTCTTCTATTCATCAATAGTAGAGTTTAATTTTGAACATTGTTTTCTTTGAGAATAGTGTGTTCTAGTCATGGTTTTATATAACGGTTGCACGTAAAGACTTTTGCGATTTCGGTCCATACATGTGTTGTGATACTGATTGCGGCCGTCGTTGTGCAAATCAACCACAATTTATTTTTCATCATAAAAACATAGTAGTTTCTAATTATAGCCAAAAAAAAAAATGATATATTGTTAATACCTTATACAATTCTGATTCAAAACACTGTTGGGTAAAGATCAGAAGGCTCGTGGTTGTGTAGGGTGAAATTGTCTGCGCATTATTCTGTATTTTCTTTAAACCAATAATTTCGGTATTTCCTTTACACATGAATGTTTTGAATTTGACAGGGTGTAAAGGTTGATGATCTTGAGACCAATCATTTTGTCCTTGTTCATGGAGGTGGTTTCGGGGCCTGGTGTTGGTACAAAACTATCGCACTTCTAGAAGAAAGTGGTTATAAAGTAGCTGCCATAGATTTAGCTGGCTCTGGAGTTCATTCATTTGATACTAACAACATTACAAGTCTGTCGCAGTATGTTAAGCCTCTCATCGATTTCCTTGAAAAACTTCCCGAAAGCCAAAAGGTACTTGTTTTCCTTTCCAATTTTGTGACTCAAGGATTGTATGCTAAAAAAGCATGAACTCATAATCGTTAGATCAGCTCAGCGACAGTTCGTGTTTTGACTTTAGGAAATCGGATTCAAAATACTAACTCAGAACACGAACCTTCTGATCTTTATCTAACGACATCAATTTCTTGATTGCTTTAAGTTTGTCATTCTTTGACTGCAAATACAAGTCCATGACTTTTTTTACTGGTAATCTCGCTATCTGCTGAATATTCTTTCCATGTTGTTCTTACTTTCTATATGCTTCTTATGTTATGAAGGTGATATTGGTTGGACATGATTTTGGTGGGGCATGTATATCGTATGCAATGGAATTGTTTCCGCATAAGATTTCCAAGGCCGTCTTTATTGCTGCAGCAATGCCGACTAACGGACAAAGTACTCTCGATATCATTTCAAAACAGGTTTTCCATCTCCCACTAGTATTAAGATTGATATAGCTTAATTTTCGTGTTTAAGGATACAGGTTTTCCATCTCCTACTAGTATTAAGATTGATGTAGCTTAATTTTTCGTGTGATCTAAACACGGATACGCTCTACCAAAATAATGCAGAGTTTGATCTCTAATGACTTACCATTTCTATGGTCATGTGAAATGCTTTTACATTATACACATATCCACGATCTTTGTGCCACTTAAATTGGTAGCCGATTGCCGGCATTCAAGATCGTACAATCTCGTGAATTAGAGCGCGACAACCATGATTGTAACCATTCAATGATGATTTGATTTTGACTATCTGTTGCAGGCAGGATCAAACGATCTCATGCCACAAGCTCAGATTTTTTTGTATGCAAACGGGAATGATTGTCCTCCAACCGCCTTTGATTTGGACAAATCATTATTAAGAGATTTGTTATTCAATCAAAGTCCTGCCAAAGTAAGTAGCAGCACACATTAAAATGTCTTCTCTTTTTTCTTTCCGTATCCATTTTCCTCTGACTATGTTAGCGTTGCTATGTATACATAGCAACTTTGTCGAATTTCTATGACATTCGTTTATCTCTGACCCTTGTTTCTTCATTGTTCTCAAAATACAGGACGTTGCATTAGCATCTGTTTCGATGAGGTCGGTACCATTTGCACCGGTTTTAGAGAAACTTTCCCTTTCAGACACGAAATACGGAACCGTAAGGCGGTTTTATATAAAAACTCTTGAAGACAATGCCATACCTACTTCACTTCAAGAAAACATGATAAATGCAGGCCCACCAGAGAAGGTTTTCCATCTGAAGGGTGCTGATCATTCTCCTTTCTTCTCAAAGCCTCAAGCTCTCCATAAGTTATTGGTAGAAATCTCAACAATCCTTTGAGAATATTCATTATCTAAATAAATTGTTTTGAAATTCTAATGTACAGTTTCCTTATCAAGAAAGGGTATTGTGTGCAATTTAGTAAGTTCTTTCTTCTCTTCTCTTTTTTGAGTTCAAATTAGAAAAACTAGCTTTTACGGTCATTGATCTATGTAACACTGACACCGATCTATGTAACACTGACACGTCATATTGAACGAGTTATCAGTGTTGGACACATGTGGTTACCACATTCAATCATTTCAAAGTTTGATAAATTAAGGTTTTAACACTTTTTTTTGTTAGATAGATCAATTATAAATCTTGAGTGTTAGTCGTGGGAATAGGTTAGACAAATAACATGCCAATTAATAGGAGTCTAAATAGGCCTAAGTTAGATTTAGTCAGACTTTTCTTTAAATAGAAAATTTTTAGATTTTTTTATAAGTTTATTTAGCAGTTTTTTAAAGTTTGATAAATTAAGGTTTTAACACTTTCTTTTGTTAGGTAGATCAATTATAAATCTTGAGTGTTAGTCGTGGGAATAGGTTAGACAAATAACATGCCAATTAATAGGAGTTTACATAGGCCTAAGTTAGATTTAGTCAGACTTTTCTTTAAATAGAAAATGTTTAGATTTTTTATAAGTTTATTTAGCAGTTTTTTTTAATTTTATCAGACGGATTTATTTAAATGAATATGTATAATTTTATTATCAACAATAATATTTTATTTTTTAAATTAAAATACAAAATTAAATTTATTTATTTTAAAAATTTTAGAAAAATAAGTTCAAACCTCTTAATGAATAATGTCATAATTTATTTTCATAAATTTTTGATTTTATGCTACTAAATTCAAGCTTAAATAAGAGTCTTTTAATTTTTTGTTTTATATAAACATTAATTTTTAATTTTTTTGTTTTATATAAACATTAATTAAATTGTTTACTTAATTGTTTATTTAATGAGACTAACAAGTCAATTAGACATTCAAAAAGGGAAGATTCATGCTTAAAAATAACCATATATATATATATATATATATATATATATATATATATATATATATATATATATATATATATATATATATATATATATATATATATATATATGACTGGATACAAGTTAGACCTAAGTTTTTATATTTTTAGTACGCCAAATATAGGTTTTGCAAATCTTAACTCACCCCAATCTATTGTCATTATTTGTATACTACTAAAGTAGGATAATACTACTAAGTAGGTTGATGAGTGTATATTTAAAATAATTAAATACATTATTTTAGTCACATATTATAAATATTGAACAAAGAAAGGAAATGACATTATGATGTTGGACACCCTTTACTCTCATGCTCCTTAGGCAATTTCTTTTCCCACACTTACAGTGTGGGTCGCACTTCTGAAAAATTCAAAAATGTCTTTAGAGTATTTTAGAGATATGTATTTTAGAGATGCATATCTGAATGCATCAAATCTCGTTTTTGTCAAAAAAAAAATTAGGGTTTAAATGGATATGTATCTCCGAAAAGTGACACGATGCCATGATAAGGTTTATGAAGTCCAAAGTGATCTAATACTTGTATAAATAGGGTGTCTATCAATCTGTGTTTTCTACAAAACACACAACTACCAGAGAATGAATGCATATCCCTACCTTGCATTTGTGTACTTCAATGACGCAAAATCCCAACTTCAATTTCGGATCTTCGACGACATACTTCTCGTCGATCTAAAAACCAAATTGAATACTCTCATGTGATATCCATAAAATTAGAGAGTTGTCAAAGTCGAGTATCGTTCAACATCACTTGACAGCGAAGGAAAAATACAACTCACCAACTTTGATCTGAAGACAGATGAAGATTTACAGGTCATGTGGAGTGCATTTTATCGTTACACATCAAAGAGAGAGGCCCTGTCTCCAGTGATGAAACTGTTATAGGTTGTGGATCAAATAGGAGATAAGAGAGGGGAACAAGTGGATCTAGCCAATAATGGAGGATCTGCAGGAGCCAGTCTTGCAGACACTACAACAACTATAGTGTATGATGCCAAATTTTTGAATGATCTGGTGGCAGAAATGCAAGGAAGCAAGAAAAGCAACGATGGATCGTATATGTCTGCAGTTCTAGACTGCGACCCTGTATGCATTCAGGAAAATATTGGTAATGGAATCCAGGAGATGGAGGAGGAAGTAGAGACTCGTTTGAATGGCTTGAGAATTAATAAGTTGAGTTATGGGGGTATGTTTGTCCTGAGTTTGTTCTTTCTAAGAATGAAGAAATAAGAATACACAAGCCTTTCCAAGAATGAAGTTGCTTGACATAAGGATAGGGTATAAAGCGTTAGAGACACGACTTAAGTAGGTGTGAGTGAGGAAACAGATCATTAATATCATTGATCTGAGTAATGCTTACTTCTTAGTGGCTTTTACTCATGAAAAAGACAAGAATGCAGCGCTTGTGGAAGGTCCATGGTTTATTTATGATCACTATCTTACCGTGAAGGATTGAAGTCCCGACTTCAATCCTGAAAGTGATACCATTGACAATGTGACTGTGTTGATCAAAATTACAGGACTATTTATAAAGTATTATGATGTTAGGGTTTTCCATTTCAATGGAAATAGAGTGAGGCGTGCTATAAAGGTGGATAAAAATACGTTGTAGCATGAAAGAGGTAAGTATGCACAAATTTGTGTGGAGGTTAATCTCTCTAAAGCCCTGTTAGCTATGTTCTCAATCAAAGGAATAAAATATAAGAGAGAGTATGAAAGTCTGCATCTTCTATGTCTCACATGTGGGAAGTTTGGACATTATAAAGAAGGATGTCAGGCTGTTGCTATAAAAAAGAATGCTGAAGGAGATAAATGTGTCTTAAAGAATGTTATCATGGAACAAGGAGAAATTAGTCATAGCAAGGAACTCTTTTGTTATTTTTACCATGAACTACGAAGTTTTGTTCCTCCATTTCACTTTGTGGGTACGTAGCCACGAGGCTCATGAAGTCTTGTCAAACACAAAAACCCTAAAAAATATTTCTATTTTCATCTCCCCAATCTTTTGCAAACAATACTTTTTAAGGCAAACATAGATTTTCAAGAGGTTCCTATAAAGTACTATAGATATTTTGGATGCTAACACCTTCCCATTACATAACCAACCCCGTTACCCTTTATCTCTCAGTTTTATTAATTTTTTTTAAAACTTTTGCGGTTTTATTCGCTCTTTTCCCATTTTCTTTGAAAAAAAATAAAGTGTGGTGGCGAATCTTGCTTTTGTGTGTTAAGTTAATCAATAGCTTAATTTCAATTTCCCCCCGCTACAAATAGATAGATAGATGAATAGAGAGAGGGAAAGATAAATAGCTAGATAGATAGATAGATAGATATATAGATAGATAGATAGATAGATAGATAGATAGATAAATAGATATATAGATAGATAGATAGATAAATAGATAGATAGATAGATAGATAGATAGAGAGAGAGAGATAAAGATAGATAGATAGATAGATAGATAGAGAGAGAGAGAGAGAGAGAGAGAGAGAGAGAGAGAGAGAGAGAGAGAGAGAGAGAGAGAGAGAGAGAGAGAGAGAGAGAATACACAAGAATTTTATAGGCAATGCCCTAATCGGCCATGTAACACCCCAAATTTATTGGAATATTTATTTAATTTATTTAAATATGAATATTCGTATTTTTGGTGATTTTCGGTGGTTGGTGTGAAATATTGAGAATTATGGATTTTAGGTTATTTATTTAAATAATAGTATATAATATGAATATATTGGTATTATTATTAATTTAAATAAATATAAGTTAACTAAGGGGAAATTGAACAATTAAGGAGGAGTTAGTGAGGGTAATATTGGAAAAATCCAATTTATAGGCTCAAAGTTAGGTTTAACAAAAAAGAATTTTTGAGAGAATTAGGATTCATTCTTGTTAGACCGTGAAAAGAGAAGAAATAGAGGTCAGGGCTCTGAGAAAGAGGATTGAGGCAAATGTTCGTGAGGTTCCCACAAATCAAGAAGAAGGCTTAGAGTCGACAATTAAGGTATGAGGAGTATTGCCTTCATTGTTTTCAATTTGTGATTTCAATGTGTTTAAAGCCGATTTAAGGGTTTAAGGGTAGAAGGTTTTGTGAGCATTTGTATTGTTGTTGCGTTTTTAAGGTGTAAGAGCCTTAAGGGATTTGAACTGATGGTCTGATAGGTTCGAGGTCGATTTGGGTTTGAGGAAAAGTAGGCATTCGTAGCCAAAATCTGTTGTTGAGGTTTTAACCATATAGGGAAACTAAATAGTGAGAACTCTAATGACCGTGGTGTAGCTGTAAGGATTTATGGGAATTAGAGCGTGGATATGGTACGGGATTGGCCTAATAAGTCAAAGATTTTATGCCTTTATCGCCGTAATACCTTATGAATGATTTAGGGATGTTTTTAGGTTATTGGGGAAGTGAATCATGTGGACTTTTGGGTTGGTCTTGGTTCTGGTGTGTAACAACGTTTTGCTGTAATTGCGTGTTCGCACAACGAATATACTCGCCCCAGACTCGCACAACGAACTTGTTAGTGAACGTAGCAGAGTTTCGCGAATTCTGATTTTGTGCAGTGATGCCTTGGTGTTTTGATGCTGTGATTTCTTTGACGAATTAATATGAGTATGGCTATGATTTCTATGTGATTATTACATGATTATATGATGATTCCTATGATGTAATGATGATGAGTTATGATGATGGTTCTATGAGTTTTGATGATTCTATGATGACATGATATATGATGATGATTTTGATGATGATAATTTTGATGAATGATGATGCACCTATGATGTTATTATGAGGATGATTATTGACGTGTGCATCATGCATTCATGTGCATCCGGACTTCGGCTCAGGACCTTGATTTCTTTGGCTTCAGTCCTATTGTGCGGATGTGAGGTATTTTGACGTGCTCTAGTTCTTGCATATAATCGATCCTATTGACGGGGATCTATGGAGGGTTGATGGC